CCATCTGCCTTCTGCCTCAAGGACTGCTAGGTTGCTGCCAGGGCACCCCAGCAAGCGTGTCCTCAAGCGTGGTGCTGCCCTGACCCTCTGGCCACATCTGCAGGCTCGTGTGGTGGGACTGGCCCAACAAATGGCAGAGACCCAAGCCCATATGGGTTAGTCATTGTTTTGCCGTATCAGTTACGTTCAAGCTCTGATGTCAAGATGACATCAGATCTCTCAGCACTGACTCCACCATAGACGGTGCCAGGATATTTTGGATTCACCACCTGCTTTCAGAACCCAAACTGGGTCAAAACAGTCACTCCTGGCACATCTTAACTTCTTTCCTCCCTGAAGGACACCTCACCTCAGCCTACTTTGGGTTTGACTTCCGTGGTGTCTCCTTTGTGCTGCGGCTCCTGGAGATGCTGCAGGAGTTGCAGCGCCGGCGAAGCCCTGGAGCTGGGTGGAGGGAGCCCGTCGCGCCTGTGCTCACAGCCGCCGCGCGTTTTATTTTTGGTGCTGGGCGGGAAGCCAGCAGTTGGTTTTAATCCCAATTTGAATGGGTCTCTCTCAGAGTCTGGCTCTCTTCTTGTGTAACACTGCGGCGCTGAGGTATTCTGGGAGACTTTTACTCACCATGGCAGAGATGGAGACCAGAGCGAAGCGTGTTTACCAGTGCAGGGCCACGTGTCTGAGTGATTCCAGCTGGGAAACCCACCCTCTCTGGTGGTCCGATGGAGGCCAGTTTACTGACCTTCATAAAACCTTGCCACCCACTGCAGTATGACCCCCCTCCATGCCACAAATGTCCCCCTTCGCACCGTGTACCCCAGTGACCTGGGACTTCACGCTTGCTTCTCCTGGGTTTGGGCAGGCAGAGCAGTTTAGAGCCAAGGGTGGCAGCGAGGAGAAGGGAGGAAATGAAGCTACCCATGAATGACAGCAGGCTCCAGTGGACCCTTTGAGAGTTCCAATGTGGGTTTTGGAAAGCAAATTTGTTACGTCCTTAATTCCAAATAATCCCTGCTGATGAAAAGGGCTACAAACACCCTCGGCTGTGTTCCTGCTTCTCTCCTACTCTTCAGAGCAATCGAGAGGTGATGCTTACACAAGGTGGCTGCCTACCCTAGCTCCTCTTGTCCCCCGCTTATCTCCATTCAGATGCTAATGATGGTTTAAACCCGTGTTAGTGATTCACAGGTCTAAAGCAAGATGGTACAGGAGATATAGCTATTTTTAACTCTCCTTCTCTCCTAAGTCAATACTGGGATAGGCAGCAATGAAAAAAGCCAACATACGGAGAAGGAATTTGAAGCCGGGAGAGCTTCAGAAGCCGTCAGAACAAGCAGCCCCACGGGCCAAAGGGCAGCGAAGGGGCACTGGCAGGTGCTAAGTGGGCTTGGGGACCATTTGTCTCCCAGAAGAAAAAAGCACTCGGCTCTTCAGTTATTTACAACGGCTTCTGTCCGCTCAAACTGCCTAACCACCTATATATTTTAACCTGCCGTAACCAGACCTGCGTGCCTCCAGCTTCCCTGTTAATGGCCGAGGCTACAGTTCTACTTCCGAGCGCAGTTTTGACCAGCCCCCAGCTGTACAGCTGCTGAAGTTTCTGGAGCAAAGCGTTTCCTCAAACCCTTCATCTTGTCAAGCTGACTAAATCTTACTAAGCTTTGGAAAAGGATAATCGGAGCGGGTTTCACGGATTCGTTCAGACCACCAGGGACTTTGCTTGCAGCTTTCTTAACGACAGGTTCCCAACAAAGATTCATAGAGGCATGGATTTAAAAAATACCTTTTTCTTACAGCAGTATAAAGCACTTTGGGAGAAATGTAACTGAGAAGAGAAAATATAAGTTTGGTGATGGATAGGAATTGCAAGAATTTATGCGGATTTACTTTGGCTCTACCGATGTTTTCTCCCATCACAAAGAGAGAGGGAAAGGAAATTCTGTATTCTCTCGACAGTGAGGAGAGCACGTTTCTATTCCCTTTGACTAGGAAAACAGAAAAAAGGGGTGAAGTGACCTGTCCCTACTCTATTCCTTCTTTGCAGTGTCCTCAACTGATGGACAAGAGAGCCAGCAAAGAGCACTGTCCTGGTTCGGGCATTTTTTGTATCCTTACTGCTATTCCTTCCGCACTTGACCTGCCAGCGTGGGACAAAGGAAGCAAAACGTGGATGGAAATAGGGGCCGGGAAGGTAAGAGATTATCCCACAATTCCAACTGATTCTTAATTTTCCCCTCTTTTCCTACAAACCCCGAAGGAAGTTCTGATTAACCTGTAGTGGAAATATGGGACCATTTAAGAGAACGACATTTTGTTGGGGTTGAACGTTAGACCTGGCAAAAACTGGCCAGCATCTTTTTACCTATTGCAATTAAATTACGATGAAGCAGCTACTGTTGGGAACACGGACCTAACAAATTATGTGCTATTGGGCACAGAAACTATTAAAGAACGTTGTGTTGTCTGATTCACAGGAGCTAGAAAAATGTCAGGTAATTACGGGTCTTCAGTTTTCCCGTGCTCCTTTAGGGACTCCTTCCAGCGTTTGCTCCCCAGGGATACTAAACCACCGCCTTCTGCAAGTCGCTCCTTCCCAGCCTGTGGAGTTTAGCAGTCAGACAACAAGGTTTTCACCACAAAGAAAACCGTTGACAAGTGAGGTATAAATTCAGATTCGCTGCAACGCCTGTGTGGTGGCTGGAACAGTGAAAATCACGGCTTCACCAGCAAGAGGAAGCTCGCTTCTGCCTCAGCAGCAGTTGTATCATTTTAAGGGATTTTTTTGGTTGCTTGTTCGCTATTTGGACAATATCCTGCAAAATGAGAAGGTTCTGTGCGTATTTTAAACACAGTTGGTTATCAAGGGTTAACTTGGTTAGTGGAACCAAAGTGAAAGTTTTAAAATACTGCTGCCACGGAGAACAAATGCCTTCAAAGCGCCTATAGCATATGTTATTCAAACGAGCACTGAAACCATGTTCTGGTTTGAATTATTTTTCTTCACAGCATTGCTCTAACTTTATTGCCAAAGAAAAGACTTCCAGAGCCAATTTTTAATCGTAATTATACCAGATCCAATCTGGAATATTTCCCTTGAAGTTAGAGTTACACCAGCTTTACACAAAGCAGGATCTGGCCCGGTTTCCACGTTAGACACTTTCTCAGAAGATAATTTTGGTTAAAAGCTGGGGGTATCTAACTAAAACAGCTAGCAGATCGACGATCAAAACCTATCTACATGCTGCCGTATGCCCTGTTCCCAAGCCACGGCAGAGCTTCCCTGCTTGAGCCAAGCCGGAACTGCAGCTTCACATCCATGGCTTTAGGGAACTGACCTATACCTGCATTTTCCTCTCACCTCACTTTCTCATTTTCACCCTCTGCAACCACCTTGCTCGAGTGAAGTCCGTATAACCCAGTGCTCCGAAGAACTGTCAACAACGGACAGGCCAATGAGTTTGCAATCCCAAACACAAGGACAGGCTGGGCGGAGAGTGGCTCGAGAGCAGCCCTGAGGAGAAGGACTTGGGGGTGCTGGTGGATGAGA